CATGATACCGGTGAAGTTCAAACACGAAGAGAAAGAGACGAGTGATAAAAGAGACGAGTGATGTTAGAAAATCCAATATCGATATGAATATTAAATATTAAATATTAATCTTATATATAGACTTGTTAGTGGGTGTTACCTGGTGTTACCTTGTTAGTGGGTGTTACCTGGTTCTAACCATGCATTTTGCCGGGAGAGGATAAGCTATGTGCGATTTTCGTTCTTGGTAATTAATCGTGGGCAGTTTACCGTTCCCGCTGCCAATGCCAGTGTGCAACTCCCCCACCCCCGCCGCCCCACGCACGCCCCGCCGCCCCATTCCCAGATAGCTATACGGTCCTGCTAACACTAGGCGGCACTAGCGGATCGCCGTGGGTTGTGCTCACACGTATACGCGCATTCTCTGTGATACGGCAGACATTGCGTGCGCTGCTGAGATATTATGGCATCAATAATGTATGATTAGCGATTGATTAATGCATTAGTGTGCTGTATTGAAGCATGGGTTTAATCGATAGATGTGCGCACGCGTGGAAACAATAAGAATAGGTTGTGTTCGCCCCGTCGTTGACCTCTGTTATTCAAATGACACGCGGACACGATAAGATTTTTGCTTTTCGAACACTTTGCATTTTTACACCAAACATTTTTAAATATATATATGATATTTATTATATTTAACATAGTTACATCTTGACATTTAAACTTTCGCTTTCGGTCGATGCTTAGATCTTCGATCTTCGATCGTCTTCGTTCTTTCTATGTTCTCTGAGTTCGTGTTGATATTTTGGTTAATATTTTACTATACTTAAGCGTACTCTGACATATCTCACATCAGTGAGCCAGTAATCAGTAAAACATCAGACCACACAGTAACACACAGTAACACACAGTAACACACAGTAACACACAGTAACACATCAGCCAGACATCAGTAATGGCAAACGCATGTTTGCGTCGCGTCAGCCATATAGCCAATTTACATCATTATTTCACAAATTAGCCATGGCCACTTAATTGATGAATCCTATTTAATTCCCATCAGTAGCCTACCAGCCAGTCAGCGAGTCAGTCCACGTTTGCTATAAGATCCAATTGTGTTTGAAAAATGTTTACGAAGTTTGTGGTAAAGTTTTTTTTTAATATAGTGGGGTAAATAAAACCGCAGCGCTGCATCATAAATGATTGATCCACTATTACTGCACAGGTGTTAATGCGATAGAAAGTCATTATTCCATCCATAAAAAATCCCACTCTTTTTTCTCTCACAGCCATTCGACCCGGTAGGTTGCATGGATGTGTAGAAACCCACGCACTACCAACCTCCCGGGCCGAAGATGGGTGAGAGAGAAAAAGGGACTCGATCACTGCGATGAACGACGTGATGCCGAGGCAGCGTTTATTAATAGGCGTGTTCGCAGCACGCCTGCTGGTTTTCTACGATTATTCGATACGGAAGTAACGGTAATAACAACACCACCACACAGCAAGCAACAGCAGTATTGCTTTTAGCAGCAGCAGCAGCAGCAGCAGCAGTACTAGTAGTAACAGCAGCAGCACCACTACCGGCAGCAGCAGCAGTACCACCAGCAGCAACAGCAACAGTACCACCACCCGCAGCAGCACCAGCAGCAGCAATACTAGTATTAGCAATAGTAATATTAGCAATATCAGCAATAATAGCAGCAGCAGTACTAGTATTAGCAGCAGCAGCAGCGGCAGTACTAGTATTAGCAATAGTAGTAGCAGCAGCAGTACTAGTATTAGCAGCAGCAGCAGTCCGAAACCCCGCTAGGATGCAGGCTTCATCGAAACGCGGGCATCGATCCACGCGATGCATGCCGGGGCGGCAAGCAGACATGGACGACCGAGCGACAAGCCGACAGTGAATTGAACAAACAGACTCAGATGACGAGAATTGCAGGCGACGAGCGAAGGAGAGAGTTTTAGGGAGGGTTCGTGCGTGTGCCTGGGAGTGAGAGAGTTGGCGTTAGGAGAGAGAGAGAGAGAGAGAGAGAGAGAGAGAGAGAGAGAGAGAAGAAGAGAGAGAGAGAGAGAGAGAGAGAGAGAGAGAGAGAGAGAGAGAGAGAGAGAGAGAGAGAGAGAGAGAGAGAGGAGAGAGAGAGAGAGAGAGAGAGAGAGAGAGAGAGACGAGAGA